ATATTTGCAAAAAACAAACAGGTTTGTTTGCATTACCTGAATAAAACGCACAGATGAATAGTAGAAGAAACTATAATTCAAGTTGATTTTGTCAGTTTTGACCTATCATCATACAAACAATCACAAATATACTACTAATATCACCACCCTAAAAATGGAGGTGCAACACATTTATCTGCAACAGAATGGCAGTTTGATCAAGGGAAGATCATTATCACACTGCTTAGGGAAAAAAACATCAGCACAAAATGGCAAATTCTATCATAACAATATAATATGCAGTTTAGGATCTTATATAGTAACATTCCTATGAAGATTAAGAATACCTAAATCCATATCGAGATTGTGTGTATTTAACTAAACAACATGTTTGTTAAATGAAGTTGATGACATGTTCCTCACTACAAATGCACAAGAAATAGCTTTTTCTTTTTTTCCCCATTTTTTTTAATTGTAAAATTGCTTTGAAAAGCCAGTGGCATTCCCTCTAGCCCTTGGGAACCCCAGCACTGACATCTGTAGAGCACAAGAGCCCAGGGTTTTTCCTGTGTTAGCAAAGCTGTTTAAAACTTCTGCAGCTTCTCTACAATGTATCACATTCCCAGGAGTCCCCAAGGTTTGAATAACTAATAGTGTAAAATATACACGGGTTTAATGACTTTTGATTCTGACTCTGCACTCACACACACACGCTGCTAGCAAACACAGGTTATTTCACTGTAGACAACTGATTCTTTTTCCTTCACCTTAAGAGCACAAGGCATTGCCATAGTGTGCACTTAAATTCTAAAATAAAAGGCAGTATGGCCTAGAAATAAATGCTGACCCTGTCTTTCCCCCAGCCCACAGTTCATCTGTGCCCACTGGTAAAAATGGAAAGAGAAGGTTCCAACCACATCCCCTGCTCATTAAAATCATTGTTGCTCACAAGCTGTCCATGAGCATAGTGTCAGAAGACTTACAAAAATTTGTTCTGATGAATTTCTAATTCACAGTAAATCATTCCAATGCTTACACTACTGTATTCATGGATTAACATGAAAATATTTATAGTAGGAAACCCTCCAGACCCATTGGCTTAACAGACTATCATGACCCGCTGTGGTCACACAGATAGACAGGGCCTACCTGGGAGACACATCACACCACCCAGTCACCCTGCTTTTAATTGCTCTCCAAACGGGACCCAGGATGCTGGAGATCTTGGAGGTGGTGGGAACACTGTGAAACAAGAGGCGAGCCACGGGAGCAGAGAAGCTGTAAATCAGTCCTGCTGGGCAGATGGCACTGCAAGCTAGCGAGCTGTCAGCAGATGGAAATGTGAGTTTGGATAAGACCAAAAAAAGTAGTTGTAAACTAATGAGCTCTGCTCAGCTGTTAATGACAACTAACTCTTTCCAAAGATTTTGTTTCAACTGGGGTCAGATCAACCTCTTCTCCTATATTTACCATGGAAGAATTTTCAGGGCTGTAAAGAAAAGGTTTGTTTTTAAGCTCAGCAGCCATCCAGAGAGGTAGTGCAGTTACTCAATAGGAGATGAGCAGGAGATTCATAATTCGGAAATCTCTGGTTCTCAGGAAATTTTTGATGACCAGACTTGTATACACCATCTTTAACTCCCCAACCTAGCTCTCTATCACATTTGCCTCTTTTATGGCACAGACGCTTCCAACAAAGGGACAACTGCAAGACAAGAAACATTTTTACCAGAAAAAGACTGCAGGACACATTGACTTTCCTGACTAATCTTAGTCTGGACTAGACATGAGGTTGGTTTGGCGCTCACAAACACTCCACCTGCTTCCCACAGCTAACCTCCAGGTCCTTGGGTTGGAATATGGGGTATCTCAAAACCCTCAGGGCTGCAAAATAATTTCTATCAGAAAAACAGCAAAAATCTTTATGACATTCGTGAATATCAGCCCCATTAACCTCCAGTGTTAAACATATCGTTTCCTCTAGCTCTCCAGCACTATCAAACTACCTTTTTTTTTTTTCTCCTTTTTATTAATATTTTTCTTTCCTTTGTCAGAGCCTCAGGGTTCTTTTTATAAGCGGCGTTGCCAAGACTTCAAAGGGTTTTTTCCTATTCTGATACAATGGTCCCAGAAGCGTTAATAATGTTTTCTGAAGAACACAATACAAAATGATCTGCTTCTGCAGGAGAAGCAAGCTCACACAATGATGGAGGCTCCTCCATTGTGGCTAGAAGCTTACGAGGTTTTTTCCCCCCAAGAAATATTGCCACAGATGAGCTCGTCACGACCGTCACAGACTGCAGGGTTCTCACACTCCTATAAACTTCTATAGCTGCAACTTCCAACAACTGGGAATTTACTCTGCATGCAAGAAAAGGGGATGAGGCAGCAAATAAAATAACTTTTCCGAAAGCCTCTGGGAAAAGGGAAGTAAAACTACAGACTTGTGTGGGAAGCTAATAAAGCGGGAGCACTGCGACACAACAGCAGTGACAGAAAGGATTAACAGGCTCTCAGCAAGAACTTGCATTGCCCAAGGTGTAAAGAAGTTCTTGCATCCTAAACACGCTTCCAGAAACATCCACATAAGGAAACTGCTATGACCCATATAGACACAATGCATTTGTGGGGCCCATAGTGCATAAAGCAGATACTGAAATGACATTAGAATAAGCACATCCCATAACAGAAGCACTTAAGTATCAATAGCATTATATAGCACACATACATACCGAGTAAGTGAAAGCTCCCAAGTGACAATCCATACTTTCTCACCAGTTTCCTGCAGGATCTTGATCAAGTTGCCATTCCTGTCACTATTCTCCCTAGCCGTAGTTGTGGGGTTAAACAAGCTACACGTCTCAAGGAGATGCTGCATATCCTGCTTGCTTCTCTTTAATCTAGTTTAGGTCCTATGTCTTGTTCACATTACAATACAGATTTCAATGACTAGTTATCACACAGGAACCAAGGCAACCCACAATTAGCTAATATTAAGCAATAATGACTATTGATCGTTACAAAAGCATTCTTGTCTAACAAACATCAGTTTCAGATATTTTCAAGTGTTCCCTGCATTTGCAGCTATCTTCTCTCTAGCCACTTATGCAGCGTCTGTATCTCCCCTTAGCTATATAAGGCCAGAAAGATAAGCTGTGCTTAACTACAGAACAACAGGAAGTCACTAAAGAAGCTACCACTGCAACACCACAACAAGCTTGATCATTAAACCTGTGTTCCAACTTGAAGCAACATCTTTTAAAAAGAAAGGCTAATTCCAGCCACTGTGGCTAGACATCATGAATTTAATGCAAGTCTCACGATAGTTTTGTTAAGGCCTCAGCAGGCTGAAATATGCTTAGACTCAGCTATGGTTACCAAGAAAAGAACACCTCAAAGATTCAAACTTCAAAGAGCAAATCAAAATGACCAGTTATGCTTAACCCATTTATTCTTAAACTAATCTTTCAATTTTAGAGGAAGGGAGGAGGTCAACTCATTTGTTTTAAGTATCTCATTTGTTTTAAGAGAAAGCAACATTCCTCAAGTATTCCATTTTACACATGAGCATATTGAGAGTGTTCTGCCTTGGCAGTTTTACCATATCAGGGTAAGTTCCCACTCATCTTGTATGGAAATTCCCAGCAAAAATTTGGAGAGGATCCTTCTCATCCAAACTCTCTGTTGGCTCGGCTCTGTATATATGTGTATGTATGTGCACATGTGTGCACACATGTGCATGTTCATTCACTGATGCATCCAAATACATGGAAGAAAAAAAGGAATGGAAAGGAAGAACATTTTATGAGCACTCATCAGGAATGATTAGGTCTTTCCAAAAGGTCATTTATTTCTTATTTATTCTCTGGGAACAACTCAGAAGGATAAATCATCAGTATTGTAGGATTACAGGTCCAAACAACAACAAACTCACTCAAATAATTCCCTGACAGAAGCATAGAGAAGTCCGGTTTGCGAGTCTCTATGTCCTGGGCATCGAGGCAATAAAATTTAAGCTTTTGGAGCTGCATGAACAGTGCTCTTCTCTATTTCCCCCTACCGTGCACAAGCACAACAGTGACATCAATCTATGTAACAGGTATCTCAGTGCTAAAACACCTAACAGTGAGAAGAGGGAGCACTGTTCCCATCTCCCCTAGTGCCTGGCAGCATCCCAGGACTCAGGCTCTCGTTGTCTGCATGAAGGTAGAGACTCTGCTGTCATCCCCTGGTTAATCAAAGAATTGTATTGTTAAAAAAAAAAAAGAGAGAAATCTGAACTTGACATTAATTTGTCTGGTGCCATTGGCAAAACATCTCATCTTCCACACACCATAAACCACCAAGAGGCAAGGAAAAAGAGGAAGGAAGCATACACTGGAAAGACAAATGCGAAGATGAAAGCACTGTGGAATAACGCTCATATTAAAGGTCATCATCTATCCCTGTCCTCAGCCAGTTACTATCCTCCAGCCAGGATGGAAATCTTAAACTGGAATGAACTCCAAGGCACCTGTACAACTCGCCTCACCCACCTCTTCCACACATTAAATGCACAGTGCACTAGGTACTCAGCCAAAACCTTAGCAAGAGACAAACACTAGTTAAGTCTGGACCGGTAATGAACACAAAACACTGTGCTCCAACATCTCAAACACTGTGTTTTTAGCTACCCATGGTTTCTAGAAGAGTGCACCTCTCATAACTACTGCAATAACCCCAAGTAACATCAGACACACGGAAGCCACCACCAAAAGAAACCTGTGGGCTCAAACTCTCAGCCCAAGCCCCATAGCAGCTCCAGAACATAATTATACCTAAATACTCACTTCTACTTTTGGTAGATAAAGTCATTACCTCCTATAGCATCATAAACCTCCTTTCTACATGGTACCTTTTTACTTTTTAATAATTTTGACACTTTTGTGCTTACCCTAATGCATCACTGCAACTTGGACACGAGCGTACAGTGCAAGACACCTCAGCGGCTTACAAGACATCACCAAGTTTTCCCATCTTACCTGGGTCTGTACAGTTCTTTCCATCATGTGTCCCATTAGGCAAGGCCATCAACCTTCTGTTCCTCCATATTTCTGATAACACGTGCCTGTCTGTGATAGCAGAATCTCGGCCTGTATGGAACAGAAAGAAGTTATGCCCACTCTCAATATGCATCATCCTAACTGGGCCAGAGAGCAGGGCCCCCGCTAGCCAGAAGCCCTCACAGCCCTACACATTGCCAGAGGCCACAAGTCTCATCAAACTTCTTCATAAACCAACAGGACTTCTCCATAAATTAGCATGCTAGGAGCTGCCTCAGTGGAGCTTAATGAACACGGCACATAAGAAGCATTTGTGATAATGTAGGATATGCAACTACAATGCTCAAAGGAAGAATATATCCCCCTTAATTAAATCGCTTCCATCTCAACTCTATCCATTTCAAATGCATATCTAATAATGAAACTTCTTCAGCATCTGATCTGGTAATTTATAGTCAGTCATCATGCAATGTTTGTGCTTTGCGCTACAGTTATTCTTGCAATAAAAAATCTCGCTTGGAAGTTAGTTTGGTTAGTGCCCTTGATTAAATGATCTGCTGCCTCCCTTGCAACAAGCAGAGAGAACAGATGGTCAGTGTTTATA